CAACAGATCCTGGAATGTTTTGGGAAAGTTTTCTCCGGATATTACTGTTATAACCTGGTCAGCCTAAAAATAGTTTTCTTTGTCTTCTTTTCACTTGTACTTGTGTAACGTTTATGCAAGGGAAAACGTTGTGTTCGCTTGAATATACCTATGAAGTGTTTTGATGAGTATAATCCTAGGTAGACCAGGATGATACTCTATATGTAAATGATGTTTTGATTATCTTTTTGTATTAGTGTTTATTGTAGTAATCTGTAGTGTGTAGGTCTACATGGGGGGCGGGGCTCATTACCCCGGCGTGTCTCTGGTGTCCATGTAGGACCCCCCCCCTTGCTAAAGACCACCATGCTGTCCCTTTTGCACATCTTGGGACACTGGTGCGAAGCTAAAACAAAAAGGGGTTAATTTTACAAGGTCTAGGGGCCGACTAACCTCTCCCTTAGGCTTCGGCCAAGCTCCCTGATTAGTCAACGGATAGCGGTGTCGGAGTCGAAATCTCCGGCGTAGCCGTAAATGCTTCGCGCTGCCATACTGCGCTTCGGCACTAGATGTCTGGAGGTATGGTCCTAATCCAATCAATAAAACCAATGAAATCAAAAACAATTTTGAAGCAGGAAAAAAGAAAAAGACGATACATCATCGGTAGCAATAATTCTTGGCGGGTTATCGACTACACTTGGTTTCCTTTTCTTCCTTTAGCAAAAGCAAAGGTTCGTCCACACAACTTGGCCATCGCTTCCTTTATGTGGACTTTGCTCTTCTCGACAATGCCATAAAAAATAAAAACATCACAGCTAGACATGACATAGGCTAGACATTATGGAGTGTTCTTCATTTTGCTTTTGTAGGTCTTATAAAAACAAATGTTTTTCCATAAACCTGGCTGTGAAATGAATCTGCTTATGTTTACTCCGACCTTTGGTTCTACGAGTATCAGGATATTTCGTACTGGGGGTTGCCTTGGTTTGCATACCCTATCTACAAAGCAAAAAATGGTAAGGGGATATTTTATACGTTTATTAGTAGTTAGATTTATTAAGTTTTTTTTTTTTTTTTTTTTTTTTTTTTTTTAACGTAACATTTTTCTTTCTTAAATTTGTTTGGTGCTTGTTGGATCCTTCGTTGTTTGTCTACCTATTTTTCATCTCATTGAAAATGATTTATTCTCAAAAAAATATGTTAAAAAATCACTTAACTTTTTAAAACGCGAGGGTACCCCCAGTTTTTTTTTCATCCAAAATGTAGCAGAAATAGTTATTTATTTGAAGTTTCAGATAAAATCAATTAAAACAACTTCGAAATATGATTTGTTTTCCCTCGCGTAAAAAGGTGCTTACGTCATCGGTGTTTAACGTCAATTAACTCGCTTAGATGCGTGGGTACCCCCATTTTTTTTTCCGATTCCAGTGTCCTCTTGGGTGATTTGAATGACTGGCACAATTTAAGAAAAATACTATGGTTCGCAATTAGGTAAGTAGGCACCGTCCTTAATTGACTGTGTGTCCCCTGATTATTGAAACTAGCTCACTTATATAGAGGTTGATAAGAACTTGCTGATCGTTTGTACTCACGAAATTCAATATTGAAACTCCCTCGTCGATCAGCCTTTTTTTTTAAAATATCGCGAACGAACGAGTCCAAGAATCTGATATGGCGTGAAAAAAGGAAAACGAGGAATGGGGAAAAAAATTTGTTTATATCACACATTTAGTGCCAATAAAATAACAAATTTGACAGTTTTCTAGTTTTCCTGTTTCACTTGACAGATATCGTCTTTATTTACGGCTTTATCACATTGATATCAACCCTAAATGAATATGGATAGTTACAGCTTTCCACTCAAGATCAGTGCTCAGAGTAAGTGGTTGCATCAACATCTGGGTATCTGTCGTTGGAGAAAGGCCAGTTTCCTGACTATGTCAGCCACAACAAACAACTTGAACTCTGAGTGTACGTTGTTCACTTTGGGCTGAATTATTTGACGTATTTTGGGTTAATGCCTGCGCATCAGTCATATTTATTTTTTGTTTGTCTGTTTGTCTGTTTGTCTGTTTGTTTGTTTGTCTGTCTGTTTGTTTGTCCGTTTTTCTTTCTTTAAGTTCTTTCTTTCTTTTTTTCTTTCTTTCTTTTTTTCTTTCTTTCTTTCTTTCTTTCTTTCTTACTTTCTTTCTTTCTTTCTTTCTTTCTTTCTTTCTTTTTGTTTTTGTAAAAGTCGTTAAACTGACTGTGATAAACATTACATGAAAAGGTGACAAACGTTTCCGCAACAGAATAACGACTTTTGGTAATGTCAAAAATCAATACTTGTTTTCAGTTTAAAAGACGCGGAAACAATTAGAAATGGTTCAACGTCTCGTTATCTCAGCGAAGGGACTCATAAACATATGTAAATGTTGGAGCACTAAGCGATTACTGACGTGTCTCTAGCTACAAACAATCATTGATAGGATAATTAAAGTACCTGTTAAAAACTTGTTTGAAAACATAACGGTTTACTTGGTGAAAGACGCCTTGTTTTTTCAATCAGTACGGTATTTTATTTTTAAGTTAGGAAAATACTTGGCATAGAAAAGATGTTACCACTAAAACATTCCTATTTTATCCTGACTTTTTTTGGTTGGCAGAATTAAGTACAACGATAAAGAAAATGAGATAAACAATTTGCGACGAGCGCGACGAGTCTCATGACTAAAAGCTTTCGCTTATAGCTGTTTGAACTGAATAGCGTGGTAAATAATCTGCATGCAAAGGGTGATAACTGTGATTCTGTCGACGTTGAGATCATTATAATACGGATCATATTAGCAATGTTGAATTAGCAATGTTTAAATTTTAACTGAAAACTTGTTGCCAAAGTATTTTATATTATAGTGTAGACTGTCAACTCCGTAGTTATTTTGAGGTGCTCGTATGAGTCAGTGCAAATGACATTATTTCCTTATTTACATTTCCATTCTAAGAACCTTAAGTGCTGTTCTTGGACAAATGTCGAAATTTTGGTAATGTTTCTTTGCGCTTCTTTCTTCTATTTAATCAAATATTTGGCTGTTCGTCTTGTCGTACAGGTACACTTGTAGCGTTCTCAAAAATCCTCGTCAGCTGATTCCTCTTGGAGTAAGGGTTCTCGAACTCCTAACTTAGAGGCATAACAACCACGATAAACAGCCACAAAAACTCCTAAATACACAACTGCCCAAGTGAAAACGTGCATCACGAACGCAATAGCTACAAATTCGATATTTTCTGATGTGTTCTTCCATGGGTTTGGGCCGTGTAAGACGAACGCGATCTGGAAGAACCAAGCTCCATGAACAGACGTCAAAAAGGCACGGACAAGAGCAGGGATTGATTGATTGGACGCCCACATCTCTATTACGAAAACCATGGCAGTGAAGAACGCAAGCATGTAAATGAAAGTGTGAACACGGACACTGAGGTGTGGACGACCATCGAGATGAAAATAGAACAATACCCCTTCAACAAAGAATGCCAATGAAGCAAATACAAAGTCGAGGCCGTCAGGGAATGGAGCTACATCATAAATCATTACTAAATCGATTATCCCAGACAGTCCAAAAAAGCCAAACATCGAAGCATGAGCATAGTTATTCAAGTGTTCTTTAACAAAGTTATGCTCCTTGTCCAAGAGAGCCCACTGCTTCTCGTAAAGTAGTTCTCCCAAGATCCCGATTATTGCCAAGGACACTTTAGTGATTGGTTCAAAAGGTAGCTTTCCTCCCATGCATCCATAAACTGCACGATTTCTTATCTTTTTCCCATCCTTATCCGCCTTGGCTTTTCGTCTCTGATGGACGAGAGTGGTGCTATCAGAGGTCATAATATTTCGAAAACAAACTCGGAGGGCGCCCGCGTACCACCAAATAGAGATGAGAATAAACATAGTTCCAGGGACTGCATGTCCTATGAAGCTTCCCATTGTAATGCATACAAATAGATGACAGAAAGTGAGGTTGCTATTTGTATCAGCGGCGCTCACACCCCAACTCCTTAGTGGTAACTGCTGCTACTTACTAAATATATCAGCTCGATTAATAGCGCCATTTCAATTGTATATTACTTATGTAAATATATGCCAATAGTCAGACAACTACCTACTTTGCGATTCAAAAAACATCTTAATGACAGGTGAAAATGGCTAATGAAATAACATCTGAGAATAGGTAAGCTAAAACGCCATAGGGTTACCTGCTGTTAAACGATACTATATGACCAGAATATTGAAAGTTAAGTCAAGTTTATAGCCGAGCTTCTTTGTAGAATACCAGCGATTAGCCGGGACACCAAAAATCAGGAATGATAGTAGGCAATTTGATGGTCATTTTATCTCGGCTTTGGAAATAAAAGGGATTCTCAGTAGTCCGTATTAAAGAAAGTTAATTTTCAATTATATAACCATCACCTACTGCCTCAAAGAATAGGGCTATCATAAGGCGCGTGTCTAGACAGCATTATAGTCCTCACTCGATCGGCAAAAAGCTAGAAAATATATATTGATAACAGATCAATATATACATGCTGTTTCTAGATCAACGTTCATATATATTGTCAATACATTTTTGTTTCGTTCTTAGTTTATTTATATTTTATTCGTTTTTTTTCATTGAAAATATCAGCTTGCTATTTGCTAAGTGATCGCGTGTCTTGTCAGGTCTCAATTGTCTTTTCCTTTGGTGGTTGCTAACATTTTTACTATCTACCGGAGTAACGCGCGCATCGTGACGCTCGGCTCACGCATTAATTTCCAGTGGTTCTAAAAGCAGATGTTGAGTTGTGCTGGTAGAATAAAGAGTTCTGCCCTACGGGTAAAGACTCACTGACATGATTATTCATTAATAAGTATAATTAATATGTAATGTCGATCAATGTCTTGTTATACAAAAACGGATAATGAACGACAAAACGTATTTCAGCTTCTAAGTGCCCCCTCAATAAGCTCCCACTTTTTTGGCGCCAAAATAAAATGAGTTAGCCCCGAGCTCTAATAAGCCCCACTCCTAATAAACATTGTGGTCCTCAGTTCTCCCTTGGCTGCTTGCCTTTGAAAGTCATGACCATTTCACCTATTGAGATTAGAAATACATGCAATTATGAACTTTCAAAGACCAGGAAGATTTATGAAGCCCCCAGGCTCTTTTATAAGCCTCCCCTCCTAATAAGCCCCCAGTACAAAAGCACTGAAAAAGAATAAGCCTTCAGGGGGTTTAATAGAGGAAGTAAGTACAATTTCAAATTTGAAGTTGTCTGAGCACAGGCTATTGGCAGGTTCTTCCAAGATCCAAGAATAACTGAAGTGCCCTGTGTTTTCATTTTAAAGACTTCGAATGTTCAGTCGTGTTTAGATAGATCCCCATGCAGGTGCAGATCTAGGAATCTGAGAGAGGGGGAAGGGGGAGGGGGTGCAGAAAAATTCAGCGTTAGACAAACCTCACCGCTGAAAATGAGGTGTGGGGGCATACTTCCAATGATATTTTTAAGATGAAGTTTCCAGAAAAGCTATTTCCTGTATTCTAGGGATATTTTGGATCCAAATAGAATATAGATATAAAAAATCCCCCACTTAAACTGGGGCCGCCGTCCAATCGCTTCCTGTTTAACAGCAGGAGGTGTATTTACAATAATCCCCTTCACAGTTCCCTGCGCCATCTTGAAAGGTAACCGTACTTTTGCATCGAAGTGACCTTGGACAAGTATTCACATGTCTCTATCATTACAAGCTCACCGTTCATCTCGCTTCGATGCAAAGGTACAGTTACCTTTCAAGATGGCGCAGGGAACTGTGAAGGGGACTATTGCTCACTTTAAAATGAGTGAAGGTGTGGGGACGAGTATATATGAAGAAGGTATTGATAATTTATCATATAAAAAAATACATTTCCATGACGAGAAAGAGCACATCAAAGCTAACAGGTTTCTGCAGTATGGCTTCGATTGGCCAAGTAACAGCCAAATTATAAGCAATCAAAAACATCAAAAATCATGACAAAGAAATGTATGTTTACTAGGGACAAGCGTCCCCAGCAATCATATATTTCTTTGTAATTTTTGAGATGTTTGGTAGTATAGGTTGCTAGACACAAAATGTATGAAACCCAAAATCTTGAAACTCCAGTAATTTATCAATTTCGATGTATTCTTTAATTCTTGTTATGGTGCATGTTTATGTTTTACCTAGCAATTCTAAAAACTCGTTTCCAATAATCAAAGTACTCGATTCTAAAGTGGCCAATTGACTTTGTCTAAACTTGGGTTCCTTAATTTGCTTCTAAAACTTGAAATACTACTAGCATCACTCATGTCTTGAAGGAAAGTGTTCCAGAGCCGACAAACGAYACAAGATCAAGAGTGATGCCCAAGACAAGATTTAGGCCGAGCCACTTGATTAGCAAAAAAGCCGCGTTTTACGCGCCGCATTTTACTTTTTAGAAAACTAACGCATTATTCGAAAATTTCCTGAATTTTACGACATTTTACTGCAAAGAAAAAAATCCTGACACTTTACAGTAATTTTACCGGTTTATCCTGCACATGGGATATTCACGGGTATTCAAAACTACTGAATTATTTCCGAATTAACCCGGCAATTTTCCCGCTTTTGCCGCAGGGTAAAATTTCGAGTTTTGACATGAATTTTCCAAGTAGCGTAATGTTAAAGGATTGATTCAAGATTTCCCCCATATTTCGAGAGTCTTACCGGCGTGTTTTTAACGTCGACAAAATTTGGGTTATTATCATATCAGGGGCTATAGTAGTTTTCATTAAATTTTAATGCTTGGATAACTCGTTTATTAAATGCTGAAGAAAAACGCGGGAAATGAAAATGAAACTTTGACATTATGTTGCCTACATATTGAAGTAAAGGTAAAGAAACTTAGCAGGAAAAAATGTTAGTTACCATAACTGAAAATTAGTCCGAAAATACGGCTAACAGCGACCCAATATTTTAGTCGACCCAATTTTTTAGTCGACCCAATATTTTGCCAATATCAAAAGGTTTCTTTCCATTTCCCCCAATTACTCCAAAGTGATTTACCAGCAGCTTGAGAAAGGAGGCAAATGAACTACTGTTTCAAAAATTGCAAAATTTCTATGCTTCAAAATTTCAACCTCAAACTTCTCGAAAATGCTCTCACAGATTTTCTTCAAATTTTCTGAGCCTTGAGCAAAGTATACTCATCCTCCAAGATCTCAAGCGCGATTTAGAAACTTAGGTAGAATCGAGCAAACCCACCAAGGGCTCTTATAAGCAGCCTTAATTCCGATTTCAGTAAAAACATGTCTTAGTCTCAGGTTGCAGAAACGTTTCACGTGTTCGTTGCATCTAGGTTAGATTTTGTAAATCGTTACTATATGGGTTACCTAGCGTCCAAAACGCCGCAGCTAAAGTGATGGCACTAACTCGTAAATAAAAAGATATTACAACACCCGTATTATTTGAACTGCACTAGCTCCCAATAGAACAAAGGACTGGACTGGACTCTGAAGATGACCTCTGCTCAGGTTGTCGAAACGTCAGTCTTCAACAAAAACAAACTCCAACACCTGGATTCGAACCATTTACTCTTAGAGCAAAGGATTTATTAAATATAAAATATTACCAATTACCTATAAGACTTTACATGGAATAGCACCGCCATATATTACTGACTAAATCACACCATATTTCTTAGGTCAGCTACGAGCAATCAGTTAGTAGCTCCAGCATACAATTTGCGCACTTATGGTTATAGATCTTTTTCGTGTTCTGCGCCTTGGCTGTGGAACGCTCTGCCACAAGATATAAGGCCTTGCGCATCGCTGATAATTAATTGCCAACACGAAAGGAGAAGATTATGCCACCACTGTATCCTGGATACGAGCAAAGGTTTCCTCCTCCATTTTGAGACCAGCTCTTCTGTGCCTTAGAGGTTCAAGAACCACAAGGAGATTGAATAGAAACTTAAAAGACATATACTTGGATGTCAAGACTGCAATTGCAGCAATTAGCTAGATCCCCCCCTCTCAATACATATTTATATATATTTATTATTTTTTATATATTAATTTTATTTCATAGAACATATATTATTAGGATTAATTTTTACCAAATAGATTTCATTGTTATTTAGAGCGTTTTCACTCACGTGAGAAGACAGCCATAAACAATAGAAACTTTCTGCACGGTATTTGCATGAAAATAGAGTTCAATTCCCGGAGGATAGAAAATGTATTGTTTTGGTACCCCATAATGGCCGCTGTGACGTCACGTAAAAACGCTCTATATTAAGATATATTTTTATTGTAGGATATTATTATAGTTTTTCCCTTTCTTTATATGTGTTTAGTAAAATACAGAGGTGAACATTGAAAATCTCGCGCGCTGAATGGTCGAGAAACTCACACTATCACACGATAATCACCTCCAGCGATAATCCAAAATGGCGGCCAGCCGCTGTGTTGCTGTTACCGGGAAAAAATGTCTTTTATCTTCTTTTTTTCTTTTTTTGAAAGAATCACCTGTGTATTTATACTAAAACAATTATTTGCTTCAGCCTCAGTGAATATCGGAGAATATTTACCTCGCCGCTCGAAGACTCGCGTCTCGGTAAATATTCCCCGATAAAAAATCACTTCGCCTTCGGCGAATAATTGTTAAATATATATTTAGTTAAATACGATTTTAAATTATAGATCTGGTTACTGAGATTATTATTATGAAGAATTGTATTATTATTAATATTATGGCAAGTTTTATTTGTCTGTATATATCATGTTTACATTGACCAGCGGACTAAGTCTAGGCTGGTTAAGTTCATCATTTTTTTTCAATCCTTTCTTTGGCCTATGCATATTCATAGAACCTCTTGACTATATTAACGTTCTGGCTTAAAATCCATTTCTG